GGACTAAATACCGTTCCGTCTGAAGTCTGGAGTGAAGTCCGTCAGGAGTCTGTCAATTAGAGCGAGTCAGTCAGTCGAGTCAGAGGCTGTCCGAAAAAGAGTCGCGTTCAGAAAAGTACTACTAAACCTGATTGTTCGTACTAACACTTTCTATTTCTCTGTATATATTCCTGTTTGTAATATATCTGTGTTATTCCATATACGTGTTCGAGTTCTTCTTTATTGGTTCTACCCTGGACGATCACCCGGGGTACAAGGAAACGGACCGTAAAATTAACTTATAAACGTTTGTTATCCATTGTTATTAGTAGAGAGTACTGTCTAAATGTACTAATATTTTGTTCAGAAAATGATGACCGATTTTAGAATAAACATTTTAATTTTTTCCTAATATATATTTATAATAGTTGCACATAAATATATTACTTATACCTAATGAATGAAGTCTCCTCTTTGTTGATGTTATATCAGTCTCTTTCAGAATTTAACTTAAAATATTATACAACGCCCAACATGAATATGAATAATGAAGAGAGACGTTTACTATTTTTTGCACGTGTTCCAGTTCCGAACAATATAATATAATTAACTATGAGATATGGAGAGTAATTCGATATGATTTCATTTGTGAATTGATAGCTTCAGCAATGTGAATTCGCATTATTCTATTTTGGGGATTGTGGTCAATAACGGGTTATAGTTAGAAGCTTATAATTAATAATAGCTATTTTTTTTATAAAATTAATATCGAATTTTTCTAGAAACCGGTAATTAATAACAAATTTTTATTTGAATTTTTATAATTAATGTCCTATTTTATTTTAATTTTATAATGAACATGGTTATGTTACAGCACGCATTCATATGTTAAAGATCATATTTCCAATTTATAACATTGAAAAGAGATGCACGTTCGAATAAAAAAAAATGCAAGGAAATAAGAATGTAATTTCCAAAGAATATTTTTTTCTTGTTATGATCGAGTCGAATGATTCTCTAGAGAAACTCTAGATATTCAATACAGTAAAAACAAAGAAAAATTACCTGAATATATATATATATGTGTGTGTGTGTGTGTGTGTGTGCATATATATATATATATATATATATATATAGTGATTTTCTAAGCCCGACATAGATGTGGCACAAGGCCGTAAGTATGAGGCACTCAGTGAGTATCGAACTCACTACTCAGTCGTAACTGATCTAGCAAGACAAGATTTCTAACCATCACACCACGCTGAGGTGCCCAAATAGTGTTTCCCCCATGCGTATATATATATATATATATATATATATATATATATATATATATATATATATATATATATATATATATATATATATATATATATATATATATATATATATATATATATATATATATATATATATATATATATATATGTATGTGTGTGTGTGAAACCTCAGAGAGCAAATGCAATGTCAACTGGTAAGTATAATTTAATTATGCAGAGAAAACATTACAACACATTCATTGCTGCTGGTATGACATTAAAAATGGAATCATATTAAATTACACTCCATACTTCAAAATATGTATTTTAGAGATACCATTTGAATTGATATGATTCGTACCAGAGATTTTGAGTTAATTTTTATACTTAATATTGGAATTGAGATGCGCATTAATACGGGAAATAGACAAAGAGACACCAATTCAGTCTATAATTTCATTCATTATAACGTTATCTCAGTACCTTCTTATGAGTATTGATACTTAGGTAGCGTAGCGGTTAACGGTGCTGAATGTTTCTGGGGCGAATCAATTAAGCTCGAATCTCTGGCCAGTATTATTCAGAAAGGTATTAATTAATTTGTTTTTCCTTTTATCTGTCTTGAACTTCTTTAAGTGAAGATTGAGTTTCCTGGCTTGGATGGAAGCTGTCTAAAGAAATACAAATCCGAATTCAATAGTAGTCCTTGGTATCACAATAATCATGCAGCAAAATCTATCATCGGAATGTTTTAATGAGCGTCGAACCACTTCTTCATTACTGTTGTTTCCAGATCCACACTGACCCGGGGTGGTAGCACCTGTTATGTCAAAATAGATGACTGACAAAAGCAAAACACAATGAAAGTGTAAATAAAATATTTTATATTAAAAATACCAGCAACACATTTTATATAAAACAAAATTAACCAAAAATGCTAATTTTTAGCAGAATTACCAACAATACCTATTTATCTGTAGTTGGAACCATAACATTGTATTCTAAATATTTAGATTTCGGATTTAAACTACCCAAACAGGGTGAGATGACGCTATACAAATATCAACAAATCAACCAAGTGAATTCGATAATTGTCGCGCCCGTGAATCAAGAAGCTGCCCTTGAATCGAGACTTGTCCCGAAATTTCTCTGCAAATGATTCATCCAACCTTCCTTTCGAGGGACCCATTTTGACGCTGATTCCCGAAATCGACGGACTAACGCCAGTCTGGGGCAGTGACTCCGCAGGTTCTATAATTTGTAACGGTTTTTGAGGCGGTAATCAAATGGTTAAAAACGGTATTTATAAAGGCTATAAAGATTTGAAAACACCGCTTCCCGGTTGTTTTGATAGGGGGTTTTAAATACTGAAAAATATATATAAAAATGAAACTAAAATGTAAACAAAATTCCAAAGAAACAGGTCCTTTGTCATGATCGAGTCGGCTTCGTGATAAAAAAGAACATCAACAGAAATATGTATATATTAAGAAAAAAAAGACATTGAACTGAATAAATATATCTCAGCCCTAAGAAACCAAATACATTGTCTACTAGTAAAAATAGTTTATATTATACAGACAGAACCCACCAGCATTCACATTGCTGGCGGAATCACTTCACAAATAGAATCATGAGCGCATTACTCTCCATACTTCCAAATATGTATTTTCCCGTCGCGGCATTGAAAGGGCTTGGTACAGTTGCTTCAGTCGAATGAAGAAAAAAAGAAGAACATATAGAAACAAGTCTTTATCATCACGACGCGACATACGAATTTGCGGTTATCACGTACAAACCAGTGAAGCTTACGGGAAACTCACTGAGTAGATAAAATTACTGTTGGTATGCAAAATGGTTTCCAAGATTAACCTCTCAGCGAAAAGACAGTGAACGTATAAAATCAAACAGGAATGGATATGTATAAAACTATTTGGATATCTGAATTTCTGAATACATGTAACTTTTCATGCATATATGTATATATGTATCAGGGTATAAAGACTTTGACTTGGAATGGCTGAATTTGTAAAAAGGAACGTAAACACATAAACACGTATGTCACTATTTATGCATCTATTTGACATACATATAGGGTGTGGGAGAAATACCGCCGGCATATGCCTACCAGAAAGAGCCCCCATCTAATATCATGAAATTATCTATGTAGCTAATGTCTTACCATTATATGGGAGGAATATATATATATATATATATATATATATATATATATATAAAAGCTGTCTGCGTGCAATCTGTGGAGTAAAACTTCAAAATAGGACATCTAACGTAGACCTGTTTAATAGGTGTAATATTGGAGGAATCGGGACTTTTATCATTCAATCTCACTTACGGTGGACTGCTCATGTCTTGAGAATGTCTGATGACAGAATACCCAAGATCCTAATGTACAGCCAGTTAGATCAGGGCTACAGGAATGTCGGACGCCCATGTCTAAGATACAAAGACAAGCTGAAATGCAACTTGTCAGCAGTCAATATACCACATAACACCCTTGAGCGCTTAGCTTTGGAGAGGGTATAATGGAGATCAACGTGTTTTAGTGGACCCTGCAATTTTCAATCTGCTTGTCTGAATCATCTTTTTAAATAAATTATCGTGGATCCGTATCAAAATTGCCGGAAAACTGTATAAAAACATTTTTTCGATCAACTTATTTTAACTTTCAACGTTAATGTTTGTATTGTTTGTGTAGATAAATGTTTTTTTTTTAATCTTGATCTTGACATTTTTACAAATGCAAATTCAAAGAAACAATGCATATTAACTATCAACCCCTGTTCATATTTCCACTGAGTTTATTATATGTTAAAATCTGCATGCTAAGAATATTTCTAAATATTTTTTTCTTGATTCAAGCTGTTGTATTTCAGTATTTTAAAGAAATTATGTGATACTTTTTTCATATATTCTACATTTGTGTGCCTCTTTCTACTCTTACTTCAAAATATGTATGTGGATACATTTTAATTCATATAATTCAATACATAAAATTTAGTAATCTGTTGAATGCATAATATAGCGACATCAGAAAATACATTTCGCTCGAATAAAATCTATATTAGCGAGACGAAACTTGATTCAGTTTACATGTTTCAAAGCTTGAATTTTACTTTGAATTTACTGTTTTAGATATTTTTAGAATTTAACTAATTTCATCAAGAACTTACGTACACAAAATTAACAAAAGTGAGTGGATACCGGACAAAATCAAATTTCTTCTAAAATACAGTTAAGTTTTAACACAAATATTCAGGCGCTTACTATGAATGACATTTAGTCGTGACGTTGCAGAATTTGTTTCCTTGATAATAAATGGGCCTGTGATGATACTGGATCATGAGCGAAACATGGGAAATAATTTTCTATTGTTGCTTAACTACATTTCGCATTCATTTCGATATTTATCCAAAATTTTTCTCTCCCTCTCTCTCTCTCTCTCTCTATTTCATTGATTGACTAGTTTTTTTACTGATTGACAAACCTTTGCAGTCTATCTAAAGCCAGATAATATTTTTAGATTGTAAAAATATTTTTAGCGGGGCGGGGGGCTTGATAATAATGATTTAGTTATACAATTCTTAATAATTAACCCATAGCTGGGGTGATAAGAGGTGGATTCATACGTTTCTTAATGGTATTTGCGTGTATGTGAATATAACGAACCCAACAACAATAGAAACTCAGCTCTCTTATTAACAATTCAGATCCATTGTCCATTACACTAGCCTCACTTCCTAGCTTACAGCACCTGGTATTCACAAGCGGTCTCCCATCTAGATAATGACCAGTCTCGACGTTGCTTAACTTTCGTGATCTGACGGCAACCAGTATTTACTAGTAATGTGATGGTAAGCATCTTTATATCATGCAACCAAAACACCCATACTCTCACTGGAACAATATTATGAAAGTTTTCTGTCACACAAATATAATATAATCATCTTCATCATCTTGCGGCCTCAGCCGAGATTGAACTCACCAATACTTTGATTGGTGTAGTTCATAATCTTGTCAATTAGCTGAATTCTTGATGCTTCGCTAGGGCTATCAAGAGTGTTTTTGAATTCAGAGTTTTCCTTCTTCTAGAAGAGTTGCCATCCAAGGCTATAGAACCCAGTCTGTCCTGCCATTTACCCATAGCTGGAGGGAGAAGAAAGAGTATTCATACGTGTTATCACGTAAGTGAATGTAATGGATTCGTCTGGAATTCGAACTCGGCTCTCCGATTCTTCAATCCAAGCCGCTATCCATTACTCCACGGTGCCTCCTCATAATATAATAAGATGGATCTTATCATCGTTGGATAACTAAAGCCAGATCGGTATTGTTCAACTGAAGTAACCTAAATATTCAGTAATTGTGTCATGTTAATTTATAACGACCATAAAACAAGATTAATTACATTTATCATATAGATACTGGAACATAACTCCTCAAATGATACGAACAATTTTTTTACAATATTATTAGCATTTATTTTCATGTTTAAAAACTAATTTTGACTCTATACAAGTGATTTTCACCCCACCTTGCCACAGCATAGTGGCTTACCGCACGATTCTCTTAAGTGTAACCTGATAGTATGATTGGATTCGAAATCCCTTCATAAATGTTCCTTCTAAGATTAGACTTCATTAATGTGAAGAAGAAAAATGGCCACCATTTCTTGTAATTGAGGACGCAAAATAAAACATTTGACGATAGCCATTGACACATTTTGGATTTCAATTAAAAAAGAATATAAATTATCTAAAAAGGCTTTATCAGTTTTATTGCATTTTTTATTTATATGAATTAGGCTTCCCAACCCTAAATAACATAAAAAATAAGACATGAGAAAGCAGAAGACATGAGGGTTTACTTATCGCACATTCGACCAAACATTGAAGAGATCGCGAAAAAACAAAAAAAACCAAAAAAAAAAACCCATCAGTCTCAGGTTTCAAACTAAATAATCTACACAAATAATTGAATATAAACAATGAAATAAAATATGTTCATATCTGTCTGTATTTCATTTTAAAATCTAAGGTTTTCTTTAATAATATTTAAATATATACCCATTAAATGTTTTGCTAAGTGTACCGTGATATTTTTATTTGCTTCGCGTTGTGCCGTTGCTTAAAAAGTTTCAGGAACACTGCTCTATACAGCGCCCAGGAGCACCTCAGCTAATGGAGCTACGGAAGGAGCTTGTCGTAAGAATATCTGGCGAGAGTTAAAGTTTATCAAGATTTGTTGGAAATATAACCATTACCTATAAACTGGAAGTGGTTAATCGATTCTGTACCTTATTATATATACGCTTTCATGGAAATTCTCAAACTCTCATACATATGAAAAATATCTTTACTATTAACTTCTCCACAATTAGATCTACACGGTTGCATTATCAGTGAGCCTTAGGAAAGTTCCAGCGGCATCCTCCGCAGAAGGGTAAAACTTATTTCAATGAGTGAAACTCTTGATGTTTGTAGACTAAAACATAAATGGAACGAAAATTTTTCTTATCATACAAATATTTATTTTTAATCCTCTTCTTTAATATGTCGTTTGTTGGGTTGATTTTGTTTAGCGATATGTCAACCCTATGGTTTATTTATTGCCGATATCGAAATATTCTGTACGCAATTTTATGCCTTCAACTACAGATATTTTGTGCATAATTCTATACTCCCAAGGTAAACGTGTGTTTTACTGATATATAGTTTTTACATAATATGTCGTAGACGTTATAAGTTTGGGTATAGATGTATTTCTTTAAGGTTGGACAATATGTCGACGTTTTCAATATTTTGAAATAGTTTTCGCATGTTGATTACCTTGTATTATTTATATCTTACAGGTGAGTACATTCAATCTAAATGTGTTTCGTTGTGAATGTGGCTTGGCATCTTGTACATGTTGGTCGATCTTCATTCTTCAGCAAGTATGAATGGGTGAGATATGTGTAGCCTACGTGCAGCCGAGCCAACATTAATTCAGCCTTTCTTCCTTCCCAGGACACTTGTCTTCTTTCACCCCTGACAGATTTTATTGTATGATGCCTGCTATTTTCGTTGTCGATCCAGCGCATCTGCCCCTTCTATTTAATGGAAATATCTATAACATATTATTCCACATAAAGGAACTTAAAACTGTTATTACGGATCTCCTTTCAGGGCGTCTTTTCTGCCGCCTGCCTTGTCATCCCATTTAATTCCAATGTGGCATCTGATCTGGCATAGTAGTTATTTTTTTTAATTTTCTAGCAATTTCACGAGCACTGGGTTGTGTATAATTTAACTTTTATTTTGAAGTTATAATTGATAGGGAGTCAGAATTTTTTTTTTATTTCTAGAGAAGAAATAGATTGAGAGATCTTTTGTAGAAATCTCTGAAAACTGATATTTCATTTGGCAGATGTTTCTTTTCTCATTTTGTGTTCATAAACTTGTAGACATCCTGTTTCATTTTTGTATTTTGATCTATCTGTGAAGATGTATTAGGTTTTGGCATCATTGGTTTTCTTCTAATTCCTCTTGGAATATAAGTGGAAGCGTATTTATTTTACGACATTTTCAGAGTTTTAGATTTATTTCCGGTATTCTTGTTGTCCAAGCTGGTATATTTGGCATGACTGTATTATGGATTCTAAATAGAGGTATATATGTTTCTTGAATTATAGTTCCCAAACGGACTGCAAATTTTTTTTTGGATTTCTCTTTTTGCTGGAAGAGGCTTTTGCATTTTTGAGCGCAAGGAATGTTGTATGCAGGATTAGAGTGGGTCTTTTTTTTTTTCTTTTTATATTATATTGTAAATCTAGTTGGTACTTTCTGTTGTGGTGGAGATTCATTTGTTTCTACAAACTTTCTAGAAGAGTTGATTAAATGCTATAAGCGTCAATCGCAAAACTACATAATAGTTTGTGTTAAATATTTTGACTTAATATTTCTTTACTGATTAGTAGATGAAGTTTCTATACTCGGGCTTGGGTTGAATTAATGTTCTGTCTAATTTGAGCAGCATTTTATGGTTTGCTCGAAATTTTTCCGCCATCACTCTCAAAAGGTGTAACTTTTTACTGCATTTTGTTCTCAGATATCTTTTATGAACATTGGTTTTTGTTGGAAATGAATCTCAAGGTGTTGTACGCGTCAACGATCGATATGTGTGTCCCTTCGAGTTGAAATCTTCGGTCATTATGTACTTTTTTTTTCATTGTAAAGATTCACGCATTTTTCCGTTTTTTTTTTTTTCTTTTAATCTAAAACAATTATTTATAGTCCATCACTTTATGTATGCATTACCGCCGATTTTTTTTCTATAGTATAAATAGATTTGGATCAGTAAATTAATCGGTCTGTTGTAATCTTCCAGGTCCTTTGTTTTGAAGTTTAGTTTGTACTAGCAGCATGACCCGGGGTTGCCCGTGCTTGATTCAAAAATCGTACGACACATACAGCAATCGCTATCCCTTGACTTAAAATATTTTTGTCCTTCCTTGCATTTAAAGGAGTACCCTTTGCCGTGCTGATGTTGCTACATGCCTTACTTCTTGCCTATCTCAAACTGCGAATTTTTTCTAAGCTCTATACTAAACATTAAATCTGTTACGAAAAAAGAACTAAACAAAATGAACACAAAACAATCAGCTTTAATAAAGGACTCGTAACTGGAAAAACCGAATGAAAAAAGAATGTTAACAATAAATGCTTTTTCACACCCAACACAGTTCTGCGGAATCAGATTCAACGTTGAGTTTAAGCAAGAGAATGAGCCAATTGGAGTAAAGTGCCATGCAGATTTAAATTTTTCCCACTTGTGACGAATGCAGCTATCGAATTTTTTTTTGCATGCTAGCATGCTAGTTAATATTCCTCTCAGTCAGCTGTTGGCTCTCACGCTGGCCAATAAAATATTCCTGCCTATTCGTGGCAGCCAGCTATTGGCTCTCACTCTGGCCAGTAGAATATGGCCGCAAACTAAATGAAAACTGCTGTAGAAGCATGAAAATATCGATTATTTCCACAATCGATGGGAGTTGGGAAATGCAAAGTCGATCTAGTCCTTCCGCTAACTTGGAGCATGTGCATGTAAATTTTGGTGCAAATCCGTCGAAAATTGCGGCCGTGAATTCGTTACACACACACACACACACACACACACACATACACATCCTGCCTTTTATAGATAGAGATTTTTCTGCGTTTTGTGTTAGAGATTTGGATTGGTAGTTTAAAGTTATTTTGAATGAATATGTTGCCGATGTATAGGCCAATAGAATTGTATAGCCATTTTTTCCATTGCCGTATTATTATTGATATATGTTTTACATTGTATCCACTGATGTTTTCCAAACTATTTTTGCTGATGCAGCCAAATTTATTTTGCTGACATATGTTTAAACAGTCCTTCTTGACTTCTTCTACTGCTTTATAGACTTTTCCTCTATTTTGTTTATAGCTAATATATTTGGCGGATGTTTTTTTTTTAATTTTTTAAGTGCTACTTTCTCTCGTCTAATTATTTTTTTAAATCCATCATCAAACCAGGGTCTGTTTCTACTGCTTGGGGATGAGTTTTGTGGGATGCGGTTTCTTTCTGTGACAATTATGGTTTTCATGAAATATTCTGCTGCTTTTATATTATTTAGTGTGAATTTGTTTTTACCTAAATGTCTTAAGTGTTTCCACTGGTTCTTGCTCAGGCTCTAACTAGATGGATGCTCATCGGTCCCCTCACTGTTTCTCAGGATGATGTGGATGCAAACGTTATCATGGTACCTTACCTTTTAGTAATTTGTTAGATCCCACTTAGCAAGATCAATTGCTGACAGTCTTCCATTTGCAG